CGCCTGTTACTCCTCGTGAAGGAGCATAGGCCACTCACCAGCATTCTCCATCCAACCCTGTCCTGGGCAATCCTTTCTAGCTCCGTCCAGTTGTAATTCATCCTTTTCATATCTGCTTCTATAATCCGACGCAATGTGTTCTTTGGCCTTCCTCTTTTTCGCCTCCCTTCAGGGTTCCAAGTTAGGGCTTGCCTCGTGATGCAGTTTGACGGTTTGCGTAATGTATGTCCTATCCATTTCCATCGTCTTTTCCTAATTTCTTCTTCAGCTGGAAGTTGGTTTGTTCTCTCCCACAGAAGGCTATTGCTGATGGTATCCGGCCAATGGATGTTGAGTATCTTGCGTAGGCAGCTATTTATAAATACTTGTACTTTCTTGATGGTGGTTGTTGTAGTTCTCCAAGTTTCAGCTCCATACAGTAGAACTGCCTTGACGTTCGTATTGAAGATTCTCACTTTGATATTGGTTGAAAGTTGTTTTGAGTTCCATATGTTCTTCAATTGTAGGAATGCGACCCTTGCTTTGCCGATCCTCGCCTTTACGTCTGCATCTGAACCTCCTTGTTCATCGATGATGCTTCCTAGGTATGTGAAGGACTCTACATCTTCCAGAGTTTCGCCATCAAGAGTGATTGGATTGCTGTTCTGCGTTTGAATTTGAGGACCTTGGTTTTCCCTTTGTGTATGCTGAGGCCTACTGATGCAGAGACTGCTGCTACACTGGCTGTCTTCATCTGCATCTGTTCGTGTGTACGTGATAGGAGGGCTAGGTCGTCTGCGAAGTCCAAATCGTCTAATTGATTCTGAGCTGTCCATTGTATTCCGTGTTTTCCTTCAGATGTCGAGGTCTTCATAATCCAGTCGACCACCAGAAGAAAGAGGAAGGGAGAGAGTAAACAGCCTTGTCTGACTCCAGTCCTTACTTGGAATGCATCTGTCAGCTGTCCTCCATGCACTACTTTGCACTGTAGTCCGTCGTATGAGTTCCGGATAATGTTGACAATCTTCTCAGGAACTCCGTAGTGTCGAAGAAGTTTCCATAATGTCCTCCTATCTACACTGTCGAATGCCTTTTCATAATCAATGAAGTTGATGTATAGTGATGAGTTCCACTCAACTGATTGTTCGACGATGATCCGTAGTGTTGCAATTTGGTCTGTGCACGACCGATCCTTACGGAATCCAGCTTGTTGATCTCGAAGTTGGGCGTCTACTGCATCCTTCATCCGGTTCAGCAACACTCTGTTGAAGACTTTCCCTGGTATTGACAGTAGTGTAATGCCTCTGTAGTTTTCACATTTGCTCAGATCTCCTTTCTTTGGAATCTTGACGAGGTGTCCTTCTTTCCAGTCCATTGGCACTTGTTCCTCCTCCCAAATCTTTTTGAATAGAAGGTAAGCATGCTTGTGGTTGCTTCGATGTCTGATTTCAGTGCTTCAGCTGGTATGTTGTCGGGTCCTGCTGCTTTCCCGTTCTTGATTTGTCTGACGGCCATTCTAATTTCTTCCGTCGTTGGTGGGTTGACATCTATAGGAAGATCTATGTGTGCTGCTTCGATGTCCGGTGGATTCATTGGAGCCGGCCTATTCAGGAGTTCCTCGAAGTATTCCACCCATCTGTTACGCTGTTGTTGAATTTCGGTGATTGGCTTGCCTTCTTTGTCTTTGACCGGCCTCTCTGGTTTACTGTATTTCCCTGCTAGTTTCTTCGTTGTATCGTGAAGCTGTTTCATATTTCCTTCTCTAGCAGCTTTTTCTGCCGTCGTTGCTAGTTCTTCCACGTATTTCTTCTTGTCGGCTCTAATGCTCCTCTTCACTTGTTTGTTTGCTTCTATGTATTCAGCTTGTGCTTGGACTTTCTCTGCTCGTGTTCGGCTGTTGTTAATTGCTGCCTTCTTGTTCTTCCTTTCTTTGATCTTGTCCAGTGTTTCTATAGAGATCCATTCCTTATGATGGTGTTTCTTTAGGCCCAGAACCTCTTGACACGTTGAAGTTAATGCTTCCTTGATGCCTTTCCAGTTGTCCTCCATACTAGTTTCTTCTTCTTTCAGTAGATCTTGTAAGGCTTGGAACCTGTTGTTGAGAGCTATCTTGAATTCATTGAGTTTGTCAGTATCTCGAAGGAAGGCTGTATTGAACCTTTGTAGTGCTGTTGGTCCACTTGTCCAGTTCTTTTTTAGCTTCAGTTTTAAATTGGCTACAACTAGGTGGTGATCTGAAGCTACGTCAGCACCTCTCCTGGTTCTTACATCTTCCATTGTCCTTCGGAATTTTTTGTTGATGCAAATATGATCTATTTGGTTCTCTGTAGTGTGGTCCGGTGAGATCCATGTAGCCTTGTGTATACGCTTGTGTGGAAATATTGTGCCTCCTATGACCAATTTGTTGAATGCACATAGATTTGCAAATCTTTCTCCATTTTCGTTTCTCTGTCCCAGTCCATGTCGTCCCATGATATCTTCATATCCAGTGTTGTCTATTCCGACTTTGGCATTTAGATCTCCCATCAGAATAGTTAGGTCCTTTCTTGGCATTTCTCAATGATTGACTGTAGCCGCTCGTAGAACTGATCTTTAATGTCGTCGTTGCTATCATTGGTGGGTGCATAACATTGGATAATATTCATTAAGATCCCCTCCTTCTTTGTTTTGAATGATGCTTTGATGATTCTGGATCCGTGAGACTCCCATCCTACAAGTGCATTTCGTGCTACTTTGGACAGCATAAGAGCGACTCCCTGAGTGTGTGGAGCATTGTCCTCCTCGTGACCGGAGTATAGCAGCATCTCTCCCGTAGCTAGCCTTTTCTGTCCAGCTTGGGTCCAGTGGGTTTCGCTGATTCCCAGTACTGCTAAGTTGTATCTCCTCATTTCCATTGCTATTTGACTGGTCTTCCCGGTTTCCCACATTGTTCGAACGTTCCATGTACCTATAAAAATTTTTGCTCTGGTTGTTAGAAGGGGCATCGGCCTCGTGGCTTCCGAAGGAACTCGGCTTTCACCATGAAGCGTCATAATTCTTCTAACTGAAGACCTTCTAACTCCCAGGGCAGAGTTTAAATGGTTTGAATAATTTTTTCTGGTAAGCGTTTTTTTAGCGAGTTAGTTTTCTACGGGATGGGGACGCTAACCCCATGCCCAACCCTCCTCCTTTACCCGGGCTTGGGACCGGCAGTAACCCTATTAGAGCTACAGGCGGAGTTAACTGTAATAAAGACATCCATTATTCTTCCTCCCGTTGATTGTGACCTTGCACGAACTTACGTTTGCTCAGTAAATCCTCTTGTACTTCTTTGGCACGATCTCGGTATTCTTTCGGTACCACGAGATCGCCAGTAAATACATCTCGACGAAAACCATCAACTGCCTTCTGATATTTGGCCTACGGGGGATCTTATTGGTTAACTGGCACGTAGTCTTCCTGTAGTGGTGATGATAGTCAACCGCGACTCGACGCCACACTACAAACTAATGAGATCTTTTTCTCCGATGATCACTGTCAAAACATGTATCCAAAAGTTACCTGCGCAAGTTTATAGAAAAAGGGTGGCACTATAATGTGCGAACAAAATGATCAAATTTAAGGTAGCTCTTCTTAAGCTTATGTACGATATTCACTTATTTTTATTGCTACTAGGGATCCTTTAATTATAGCTGGTGTCAGCTTGTAATTAGAACGCTAAACTCTCATTTACTATAATGTAGTTTGGTATGTAAGGGAGTATCAATCATATTAAAGTTATTTATACATTGTAATTTCACTACTTATTATTGTTAGCTGCTTAATAACCAAAGTTTTCTGATTGGCTTGTGAGCCACTCAAGGCTGTCAGTACAGTTTAGTTTTACCTGGTCTTTTGATAATTAACTGCTGTTTACATCCGCTTTTTACCCATTTATCTATTTTAATTTAAATATATTTCCGATTATGAACTAACTAATCCTTGATATTGTTTTACTTGAATCTTCCCATTGATGTTTTTGGACTGAAATTGATCAGTCTCTTATTGGCATATGTGCATACTGTACGTATGCCTCGATACTGCCTTAATTAACTAATCCTTGATGAAATGTAATTTGATGATTTTATTCGTGTCAAAATATAACAGCATTTCAATCTGGCTGCCAATGTTTCTGCGTAATTACTTATAATTGTCAAAGTGGATTATAAGTGACTTATTCTTGGCAGTCAGAAATAGTTTCAAACATACACGACTTCAAGTTATTGTGTGAATATTTTGATCTGAATAAATCATAATGTATACTTGTAGCTACATATAAATGATAATACTTAACATCCGTTATGAAGTATACAAACTAAAAGAAAATCTTTATGCATGAAAACCGGGATTAACAGAATGTAGAAAAAATGAGTTAATGAAACAAACATTGTAGGATAAATACATAAATTTAACTTGTCATAATTTGAGAAGCAACCTCAAAAGGAGGAGTAAGGGTATTAAAATGAACGAGAATGGAGTAGGCAATAACATTGTATACAAAAAACAAAGAATGGATTCTCAATGATTATTGAACAGAGGATTCCACTGTTAACGTATACTTCTTTGTAATCGACAATAAACTAGATACATATGAAATACTATTTCTGTCTAAACTGAATAGATCATACATTGATCCCATTCATACACCTAATACAAACACAATAAATCCAATCAACTGTGTGAGTCAAATTAATAACGAGTAAAGATTGGTATATTGATTGAAAACGTTAAAGAGAGTCACATTTAAGTGAGACTTGTCAAATGGATAGGTTAATTTGATGAATGTTCATTTCGACTCGTCCTACGATTACTTTGACTGACGAATATGCATTTGTGCTGAGAGGAAGATGCATAAAGAGAATTGAAACTGCAAGTTTTACACGTTAAAGTCAAACGTATATTAGAAACAGAGAGGCAACAAACATACAATACATAAACAAAAACAACCTCAACATTTACAATAATAAATGCAGAAGATAATGTTCAAGAGCAATTTTTGTGATGCATACATGAGTTATTGGTAAAATGATGTGATACATGTGTGTATTTGTTGAGTTTATAATTTATTAGTAAAAATAGACATTTCCAAATTGTGTTTGACATTTAATACAATATTGTCATTGAAAAATAGAACAACCATTGGTTGCGGAAGCAATCAAAATACAATGAAACATCACAGTTTTAAAAGTTATTTCTGTTCATAAATAAATAATATCACTATTGATTACCGACCAATACACGACTCATATTGAATGGCAAATCTCTACTACGCATACGTCTAGTTGCTTCAATTAAACTTATTTCCCTCCGATCCAATTCAACTTGACGTTGTACTTCTAGTGTTGCACCTAATGGTTTATTTATATATTTCGGTGCTGGAGTTTCTAACACGGGACCAATCACTTTTGAGCCAAATTGAATAACTCGTTTAGGAAATAGTAGTCTTGATTGAACGTTTAAAAAATTTTTATAGTAGGTAAAACCAGTGATCTGTTATAATGGAAAAATTAAAGAAACAAACGAAAATATGTAACATTATCTAACAAAAACTATAAATTATATTAACATATGTTTAAATATTAAGTATAACCTAAATCTTATTCTACTCCCAGGAAGTTGAGAAATAGTTACTGATTAGTATAGTTAAATATACTTCCTAATATATAGAATCGCCTGGTACTACCGAGGGTGGGGAGAACCAGCTCTCTCTCTCTCGAAATGCTCTCACATGTATACAACCACTGCCAGAGAAGTCCTAATCACTGCCTTCTCGCACGAGGGGTGTTGTTTACGAAATTGAGAGGAGGAAAAGCGAGTGTCCAGCGCTTTAACCGGGTTGGTGGACATGGAGAGTCCATCTAGGGGAGTTAGAAAACCCTGATTCCAAATCAACGTTGAGCATGTGCTCCATGATACTGATGGGACAAATGGCGTATGAACCAATCGTTGGTCACCGGTTACCATGGGACTGCAGTGTCCTTCGCTTCAAATGTTAACATGTACGCTGAACTACAAAGTTCAGATAGCCGCTAACGTGCTTCATTCAGTTGTGTAGTTAATCACTGAACATCATTTTCATTAGCGAAACAGAAATATTATTATATAGTAGTACTGTTTGATTGGTACTATGCTGTTATCGTAAATTATATTTATACTGGTGCTAAGTCACTATGAAATACTTACTGAAAAGAAAGATCTCTGCACTCTATTATCGTTTAATGAAAATAAATAGCATTTTCCAAAAAAAATATTTGTAAACACACATATCTATCTATACAGATTGACTTGATGAAACTAACTAACTGTAGGTAATAAAATAGAACGAATGAAATATATCGATCTGACTCTGATCTGCTAGGAATGAAGTAGAATTGAGATATACATAGGTTTCTATTTTTATTGGTATGTGAGTGGCCGAACTTATATCATTTAAATGATGATGCTTCAAAAGACATCTAGTTATAGTTTCTACTTATCACAGATTAACCTCAATCGGGGTATAGTTTAGAACCATAGAACACTGAACAGCTGTTTCATGCTAACATGCGACTCTTCAACAAACTAGACCTAATCTCTACAAAACTCCTTTAAACAAACATCTAATAAACTTTCTTTAGTATTTTATGTGTTACAAACATGCATGTTATTTTACTGGAAGAAAAACCTACTATGCTAGCAAGCAAGTTATTATTTTTGAATAATAGTCCATTTGAGGACCCATGTCACTAATTCAGGATTCCGGGCAATTATAAATGGCCCTTATTGTGTGACTGTACATCGTCTACCGACCGCAGCTCCATCATTATTTAAATAAGCCCAAACATTCGTCGTTATCAAAACTCCTCTATGACTAAGAAAATCAATTGCGTGTAATGATAAAAAAGGGACCAGTGGAGATGGTAAAGAATACGTAAACAGTCCAATTTCTAGGTTGACGCATAAAATATTACACACAACTTACCAAACCGCATATACAGACAAATAAAGATTCCGGAGATGTCATAGCAATCTAGAAACGTAATAAGTAGGTAAATCTGGATACTTACTTCAAATCCAAATATGTATGGAAATGATTTTCCAGTTATTGGGATCCTCATCACATGTGCAACGGGGACCCATGGAATGTCCAGAAAATAGGGCACAAAAAGTGGGAAAATCAAATTAAATCTAATAACGTAATATTAAAACGCCTATACACAGTAACTTACGGTCCAGAAGGGAGTATATGAAGTGAAAAGTTTAATTTTCTCAAAATAAAAGCCATCAACAGTTCGACGAATGTTGTTGTTGCAGCACAATAAAATAGGAATGACTAAATATGCATTAAGAACAATAAAACATAATATAAACCAAGGAAAGCTTGCCAGAAATTTTCTTGATCCATAGCGTCGTTCAAATATTCGAAAATAGTACAACAGTAATCCACCGCATACCAGATCTTTTGTACTAAGGAAAGGTAGTTGGCAAAATGCTAATCTCCATATCTAATGTGCAAGATAATTTTGTAAGGAAAAAAATTCTCAAGATAGTTTCATTTTATACTAACCGATCCATTTTCGAAAATATCATCTAAATTATAGGTAAATATATCCTTCCGTTTGAAAATGGCATTAATAGGATGAAGGAAAATATCACACTGAATGCCAGAAAACATTTGGTTACCGTGGTTTTATCTGGAATAAACATGTTAAAGTAAAAAATAAACTAGCATTAAAATAATTCGTAAATGCATGATAGAACTTTCAAGTAACTTAACATATGACATTGTCTAGAATACCATGAAGTTATCATCAGTTTCGTAGGTCTGTAGTCTATCGTTTTACACAGGTAACTCATGTGATCCCAGTCCTGTTTAATAAGGTCCAGGAAACCGTGTGTGAACATTATATAATACAGTTCGGTACTGTTAGCGTGTGTTTGATTTGCAAACTTTACGAGCTATGACCAAAACCCATCAGAGTAATAAAGACTAATTATTGTTCAGCTTCCGCTAAAACCTCAATATGAACCATCTCATGCTTTTTGTCTCCCGATTTTATTTAGTTACTTTTCTAAGTTTTGCTAGTTCGTGCTATGGTTGGTACCACTGACCTCTGTCTATGGTGTAAATTATAGAAACTTTAACTGATACACAAGAGTCTCAAGGAATGTATTGATGGACTACTGTCAAGCTTCTGAGTGTTGTCTTTCATTCTTTAAATGACGTTACAAAAATAAAAAGCCCTAAAGAGACTCAGAACTGGAGAAGATATTGTCATAGTTCCGGAGGACAAAGGACGAACTACAGTATTCATTATTGCTCGAGTTTTGAGCAATCTACGAAGTATGACAGAAGCCGATAGTTTGGACGCAATGGGAAGTAGACTTATTCCCTGATAGTTGGTACAGAAACGATGTGAACAATTACCGACTCATCCCATGATGCTGGAACACTCTAATTGCCAGGCCTTTGTGAACAACTCAGTCAGTTTCTTAACCAGAAAGTTGCCACCATCTTTAAAAGGGCTGGAAGTAAGTCATCTGGGCCTAGTGATTTGTAGCGTTTCAAGAGTTGGAGTTCCTTGTGGACTTCCGCACAGTTAGGTGAATCAGTTGCCAACGGCCATGGAGGGCAGGACAGCCTGACCTATGTTGCCGGGGCAGCAGGCCAGTGGAACTGCCCTTCGAAGGATTCTGCCCATCGTCTAAGACGTCGGTGGATGTTAGTGATTGGCATCCTGTCATCTTCACATTGTTTCGCTTACACCAGACTTGCTGCTAGTGGCTCGGACGAGTTGGAAGAGCTTCCAACAGTTACCAGATACAGTTGATGCTCCCAGCTAATTAGAACGCTCCGACCACCAGGCTTCTCGGTCCTTACGCACGTTTTGCCCGATTTCATTACGTAACAACCTTCGTTTGTGGTCAAACTACGGTCACCCGGAGTAGACCGACGGGCTTCGATGAGTTGTAAGGAGCCTGAAGAAACCCAATGCTTATAAGCGGGACGTTTCGCGAGGCCGCAAGTGGCTTTACTCGTCATTTTCATGGCGTCATGCAGTTGCAACCCATGCTCATCTAAGGCAAACAAGGGCATGATCAGAGTTCAGATAAGTACTCCAAACGGAGCAGAAGTCTTGTACGCAACCGCGCCAGTGATAGCTGATCACGATGTGATCAATCTGAGTCCTGGCTTTAGATGCAGAAGGAGGGTGCCAAGTAGCACATCAGCGACGAACTTCAGTAATAATGGACAAGAAAGAATATATCAGGAAAGCCGAGGAACTGCTTGAGCATGAAGGCGTATATAAACCAATAGATACAAATCCAATCAAAGGTTAGACAACCAAAGCTCGTCAATGCAAGACAAATGCCAAAGCAAGATCTATGGAGAATGAAATCCAATGGACCAGTACTCCCTCGATATAAAAGACATATGAATTACGAGATTATTGAAACCGTTTGGAATAGGTGTAGCACACAAACCAGCAAGGTCACTCCAATCGATCCTATGCAAACCAGAGGACGAAATGACAAAAGAAGCAAGCCGAATATCATCTACAAAATAAGTTGTTTCAACTGCGAAAAGCGCTACATCGAACAGGGTGGACGCCCACTTCCTCCTCGCCTGCACGAACATAAACTGGCAGTCAGTCGTCATGACATATTCTCGCCTACATCAATGCATTTGAACAACTATGGACACATTCAACTGGAAAAATGTCGAGATCCTGGATAGAGGGAGTACTAAAAGAACCAGAGAATTTTTAGAAGCTTGGTGCTCAGATCAATCAGCAATCAACTAACGCATTAAATCGGTCCAATTATTTATTTATTTATTTTAACACATAGATATTGGTACAAGGAGGCACCAAATACATATGCGCCACACAAATCTCATTCGATATGTGTGAGGGCTGTGATACTGCCGGGTGCCCAAACTAATCGGAAAAAACATAGATAAATATAGGAACAAGAATCAAATCAATCGCAGCTACAATAAAATAAAAAAGTGGATAGTGACGGGCTAAAGGTCAAAATAACCGACCAAGACCGAGGTCGACAGGACAAGCTGTGTCATATGTGGAGAAATTCGAGCACTTCACTTCTACCTGGAGTTTGTGATGATGATGTTGTTCAAAAGAAAAATGAGAGTTCCAAGACCAAACCATTCAGCTCGCAGAATAAAACTCCACCTAAATAGTTGGTCTTTCCCACTATCATAGATGTTATTATTTACTCATTTGCCATTCAGCTTGATTTGTTAGCTGTACCAATTTAGTTATTATTTGAACATATAAATATTAGTACAAGGGGGTACCAAATACATTGCACCACACAATAACAATGAGGCCAGTAGTAATTATCATGGATTTATGTGAGGGCTTTGGTACTGCCTGGGTTCCCAGACCGAAGTAGGTGGTTTTCTTAGGGGGTCACACCCGGAGCCTTCGACCTAAAGGTCCGATCGACAAAGCAATGGAGCAACGTCAGGAGATGTAGTCCCATGGTAATCGGTGACCAACGATTGGTTCATACGCCATTTGTTCCATCAGTATCATGGAGCCCATGTTCAGCGTTGGTTTGGGATCAGGGTTTTCCATCTCCCCTAGATGGACTCTTCGTGCCCACCAGCCTGGTTAAAGAGTCCGAACATTCACAGTAACTTGGGCTGATGTACACTCGTTCAAGATTCTCTCTTCTCTGTAAGGTGAAAATGAATATCAAGAGGTCATCATTAGGGTGAGTGCAAACTGAAGAGTCTGTTAAATTTGTGGAATTTGAACTTCTGTGGTGTAAAGCACTTGTTTAGACTATGGATGATCAGTGTTGTCCAAATGAATTTTATTTTTTCAATAGATTGAGACAATATTACTCACATATTATATACTAAGGTATATAAGAAATTTCTAACTTTATTAGTCACCTGTACAATATCCACTCACAGTAACATTTAAGAATGGATGTCCAGAATCTACCTGACTTCAATGACTGCTTAGAACAGACACCAGGTTCTTAGCTGCCACTGAAATGGATTCTTTCGTACAAAATTTCACTATGTTAATGAATCTATAGGGATTAGTTCACATCATAAATCCTGTAAAGTCACTCGAGTGATTTTAAATTCGAATTTCAACGTATGGGAATATATATATGGCCATGTATACACCTAAACGTGTTGGCCATCTGCTAGTTATCTACGAATGGGGGAAAAGACACATCGAGACTACTTCATTTTGTTTGCATTCCCTGGCAATATGATCATACACACGTTGAAATTCAAATTTAATAACTTACACACTTTATTCGGTCGCCCGTCAAAAAGAAATTTAATGGTAGAAGAACACCAAGGGCTAAGATGTGTAAACACGAGGACGAAGTGAAGCTTCATCTCTAAAGATGAGTACCCAAGATTTTGGTATTTGAATATGGGACTAATGCCCGAAGCTGATACATGTGTCAAATTACGAGATAACGATCAAAATTAATATAACGCTTTAAAGCGTTAGAGACTGACAGTGTTGGTAAGAGTGTGATTCAACCGAATAACTTACAAAAGCCAGAATGACTTTGGGGAGCCAACATAGTAGCAACACTTGTAAATTTGCCGCAACCAAATCCAATATCTAATATCTTTGAAGTATGACCTTGTCTTCAGTCTTCGGTTATTAGGACAGTAAATTGATAGACTTGTGCTAATCCTTAGAGTTTTCTTTTTGGCGAGGCTCCAGTTTCTTTTTGAAAGTGCTCACTGACTAGGCTGATACCGCATGTTCGAGTAAGGCGTTCCAGTCGTTGACCAGTCGATAAGAAAAACGGAACCTCACCATGAGTCTATTAGATCGCGACTTTTAAACCATCTTGCTATGGCTCCGAAGATTATTAGTGCTTAATGGGACAAAAATATAGGACGTACTAACACCCAAGTCGTAATTAAAGATATGAAATGCCCTATAAGTCATCTTGACTTCTACAATATTATAAGGGGAAAGGTCCAAGCATTTTAAGCGCTCATCATAAAAGAGTTTGGAAAGACTTTTCGCTAATTTTTTTCCTGCACACTCAACACGCTTAAGTGAGTTAGTGTCCTAAATAAGATATGGGCCGACTGCTTGGACACAGTACTCTAGATGTGGTCTGACATAGGTGGAATAGAAAATTCGAAACATCTGGTTAAAGGATTTGAATGCTTGGCAAAGTCTGTGCAAGTGATTATGGTCCGTGACTCTTAACAATAAATTTCCTCCCAAACGGTCACTTTCTTTCAGAAACTGAGTGATTTATGTTTCGTTTAAAGTGGTCACATCCAGTCTAATGCTGTCCGTGTTTAAAGCTAACTCTGATTGCTTGTTGAGCAAGCCTTACTCATTCTTATCTCAACGCCAGTTAAGTGCTCGAGTATTGGGTCTAGAGCACCTAAAACATAACCTACTCCGCAACAACTTTACCCTAAAACCAACTGGTGACCCACTGTTACGACCGAACATCATAGATGTTTGTTTACATTTGGTGTCGCGACTCCAGAAGTCAGTGCTTTTTGCAGAAGGGCTATTGAACTGGAAAACATAATCTGGATTATTGCTCAATGTGAAGAGAAAATATCAGAAGTGATTTTAATTTCCCATAGAAGACTGTTTTCTAAAGACCAATTAATTTTCGGTAACAATTACAACTTTAGTGAGTGTTTACCGAGACCACTTTTGTCTTACTTATTTACATTCGCTTGTTACTCCCATTGGAGCATAGACCGCCAACCAGCATTCTCCAACACACACTGTTCTGGGTTTTCCTTTCCAGTTTTATCCAAGTTTTGTTCATTCTTCTAACGTCTGTCTCCATTTCTCGACGTAATGTGTTCTTTGGTCTTCCTCTTTTCCTTTGGCCTTGAGGATTCCATGTGAGGGCTTGTCTTGTGACTCAGTTGGGTGCTTTCCTCAATGCGTGTCTTATCCACTTCCAGCACTTCTTCCTGACTTCTTCCTCCGCTGCGATCTGGTTTGTTTTCTCCCACAGTAGATTGTTGCCGATAGTGTCTGGCCAACGGATCCGAAGTATTTTGCGTAGACGGCTGTTAATAAACACTTGTATCATCTGGATGATGGCTTTCGTAGTTATCCGAGTTTCCGCTCCATACAGTGGAACTGTCCTGACATTTGTATTGAAAATTCTGACCTTGTTGATGGTTAACAGACAGTTGTTTCGAGTTCCAGATGTTCTTCAGTTGTAAATATGCTGCTCTTGCTTTGCCGATCCGCGCTTTCACATCTGCATCAGATGTACTGTGTTCATCAATGATGCTGCTCAAATATGTAAAGGTTTTTACATCTTCCAAATCGTCTCCGTCAGTTGTGATTGGAGTGGTGCATGCTGTGTTGTATCGGAGAATCTTGCTTTTCCCTTCGTGTATGTTGAGACCTACTGCTGTTGAGGCTGCTGCTACATTGGTTGTCTTCTCCTGCATTTGATTTTGCGTTTGGGATAGAAGGGCCAGATCATCTGCAAAGTCCAGATCGTCCAACTGCATCCTAGATGTCAACTGTATCCCTTGCTCCCCTTCAGATATTGATGTCTTCATAATCCAGTCGATCACCAGGAGAGAGAGAAAGGGTGAGAGTAAGCAACCTTGCCTGACACCGGTCTTCACTTCGAGCGACTTTGTCAACTGTCATCCATGCACGATTTTGCAGTTTAATCCATCATAGGAATTCCGTATGATATTGACTATCTTCTGAGGCACGCCGTAGTGTCGAAGAAGTCTCCATAGTGTTGTCCTGTCCACGCTATCACATGCTTTTTCGTAGTCAATGAAGTTGATGTAGAGTGATGAATTCCATGTAATTGATTGTTCCACAATGATCCGTAGAGTTGCAACTTGGTCTGTACACGATCTATTCTTACGGAATGCAGCCTGTTGTTCTCGAAGTTGGGCATCCACTGAGTCCTTCATTCTGCTTAACAACACCCTGTTGAAGACTTTTCACGGTATTGAGAGAAGAGTGATGCCTTTGTAGTTCTCACACTTGCTGAGATTGCCTTTCTTTGGTATTTCGACCAGAAGTCCTTCTTTCCAGTTTGTTGGTACTTGTTCTTCATCTCAAATCTTGCTGAAGAAAATGTGGAGTACTGCTGCATCTGCTTTCGGTGCCTCTGCTGGAATGTTATCTGGTCCCGCTGCTTTGGCACTCTTGATTTTTCTGGTGGCCATGCTGATCTCTTGAAATTTTGGTGGGCCAACATCGATTGGGATGTCCGTGGGTGCTACTTCGATGTTGGGTGAGTTCAATGGGGCTGGTCGACTCAAGAGTTCTTTGAAGTATTCTACCCACTTGTTTCGCTGTTCTTCAATGTGGGTGATTACCTTGCCTTCCTTACTTTTCACTGGTCGTTCTGGTTTACGTCGATTTCCAGAGAGTTTCTTTGTCGTGTCATACAATTGTCCCAAGTTTCCTTCTCTTGCAGCCTTTTCCGCTGTCATTGCTAAATCATCCACATATTTGTGTTTTGATGCTCCTCTTCACTTGCTTGTTCACTTTTGTGTACTCGGCTTATGCCTTGGTTTTCTCTGCACTTGTTCGGCTGGTACTGATTGCTGCCTTCTTGTTCTTCCTTTGTTGAATCTTGTCCAGTGTATCGACAGAGATCCATTCCTTGTGATGGTGCTTCTTGTCGACCAGAACCTCATGACATGTTGAAGTGATTGTCTCATTTGCCCCTTTCCGATTTCTCTACATAGTAGTTCCCTGTCCATTGAGTAGATCACTTCTCGATGATCGACTGCAGCCTATTGTAGAATTGATCCTTAACATCTTCGTTATAGTCGTTAGTAGGTGAATAGTATTGTATGATGTTCATTGAAATGCCCTCTTTCTTTGTTTTGAAGGAGGCTTTGATGATCCTTGGTCCATGAGATTCCCATCCTATAAGTGCATTTTGTGCTTGTTTGGACATCATCAATGCAACTCCTTGTGTATGTGGGGAATTTTCTTCATCATGGCCTGAGTATAGCAGAAGCTCTCCTGAAGTTAGTCGTTGTTGTCCAACTTTCGTCCAATGTGTTTCACTGATCCCAAGCACCTCTGTGTTGTATCTCCTCATTTCTGCAGCAATTTGGAAGGCTCTCCCGGCGTCCCACACTGTAGGAACCATCCATGTACCTAAATAAATAGTTGCTCTGGTTGTCAGAAGGGGCATCGGCCTCGTGAATTCCGAAGGAACTCGGCTACCACTATGAGGCGTCTTAACTCTTCCGAATCAAGACCTGACTCCTAGGACAGATTTTAGATGGTTTGAATAATATTTTCAGGTTGGCGTTATTCAGCGAGTTAGTTGTCTATGGGATGCGATCGCTAACCTCATGACCAACCCTCCTTCTTTATCCGGGATTGGGACCGCAGTAGCCTCAGATGGCTCCAGGAGAAGATGGTCACTTGTGTCATTCGGAAAACGATATTTCAGTATTCGTTGTAACCCATTCTAGCCATGTCCCGTTTAGCTTGAACAGGTAACTAGTGTTATTAATCTATCGTTTGATCAACGTCAGAATTTTTCATCTGTCACCTAGGTTCCCATCTTAGAAATCTTCGTGAGGCCGATTACTGAGATTTATTGACACAACAGCTCATCAAATAAGTCTTTGAACAATCATATGCTATATTGAAAGCGGACTTTGAGCTATCGCCTTTGTTTCACACGATTTTTCTAAAAATATCTGACTTGTTACAATTATCACATTTTGGCTTTTCCGAGTACATTTTAGAAAACTTTCTTTCTCTCTATTAAATTTGGCATCATTTTCTCCCTTGATTTTTTCACTTGGTTCTTCCCTGATTTTCGCTTCTAACAGAAGTAATGTGAAGTTTTGCGAGACTGTGTAGAACTACTATGTTGTGATGCTTAGAAGCTTATTTTCTTGTTTGTCAGCCTTATCTCTGGAAGTTCATGAGTGGTACAATTCTGTTGTTATTCTGGTTGCTCTTTGATTCCTTTCATGTTCTCAATTCAACCCTCTTTTGGCATGCATTCCACTTTCGACTGCTGCTACATACTACTTATATATGCCAGGATAAGTATCAGAAAGCATAATGCAAGTAATACATATGAACTGTCATCGGAAGATTTTTATATTAGGAAATACTGATGATTATGTGAATCTCGGACAGAAAACTGACGTCAATTGTTTAAAAATGTGTATCCGCGAAAGACATGCTCTAGACACAATGTTCTGATATGCCACCCTTGCCTTTGATTTCCGTCGGATCCACCATGTTAATCGATGATGCTGTCCAGGTACGTGAAAGTTTTCACATCTTCCAGAGCTTTTGTTACCAAATGTGATTGGGTTGGTGTTCGCTACGTTGTATTTGAAGATCTTACTTTTTCCTTGTGTATGTTGAGACCTACTGATGGAGAGGCTGCTGCTACACTAGTTGTCTTCATCTGTATTTGTTAGTGCTTGGGATAGAGAAAGCAGGAGAGTCATTAGTATTGTCTGGCTCTGGTCTTTGCTTGAAATGCATCTATCAGCCACTCTCCATGCAGCACTTTGCACTATAGTCCATCATGTGAATTCCGAATTGTGTTGGTGA